TGTCTGGTCATTGTCCAGCTTCCCATTTACATTAAATAGGAAATATGCAATAACCAAACAATCCTAAATTCAACCACTGGACATTTTAATAGATTACAGATTCCTAAAGGCACTAATTCTCTCCATGAATCGTAACAGATCCTCTTCTAAAAGATCACTGAGGAAAAGGAGACATGATAGCTTGGAACTTCATCCACAGGATGATTATTTGAAAACAAAAGGATTTGAGAGGGTTTTATTTCATGATAATTTAACTTCCCATGTATGCAATCGTTCCTGCAAATTTTGATGAACAAAAATGAGTTATCAGACTGCCATCTCAATGACTCTTTAAAGCTATTGGCAAAATCTGTGGCCAACTTGAGGAATTAAATCCAACCTAAASACAAATTTAAAATCAAATGTGATGTTAACTGCAATAGAAAGGCACATGACATGTTTACACGTCTGCTTCTTAAAACTGCCTAGGCTCTAATCTGTCAGCAGGAATGGAGGAGGGCACAGAAAAACAATACTGTAAAGGGAATTTGAAAAAGTTAAAATAATTAATTCCCTGCTAAAGCATCCTCTTAGCATCTTGATGCAATGCAACCTGTAAGCCTGTAATTAGCCCTGAATACTTCTGTGTTAATCACTGTCACAAGKCTTCCCAGCTATTCTTAGCACTGCTATAGACTTCAATTTCTATTTACTAGCACATTTACAACTACAACAAAATAATATCTGATATTCCTCTCCACCAGATAGTTAAATTCTTTGGAGTATAATTTTAATGCTGCCTAGCAATCACTACTCCTAACAGACCACATTAGCAGAAAATATCAAACTTTACCTGATATCATTTAGCAGTAAAAAAGTCTGTAACATCTTTCATAAAAAAACCTGAATGTACATTCGAACACCTGTAGATTTTGGCTGTAACTAAATGAAGTTGCACATGTATGAACTACTATCACAGTCCAATGAGACAAACCAAAACACTTTTGTYTGTAAATTAACAGCAAAATAATGAGTTGCTCGCAGACTATGAGGGAAAATCTGCAACTGTTAGTACCCTATGTCAAACAAAAATGAAAGCAGAATTGTTAACCAAAGATATACATGGTCTGATATTACAACTAACTTGATCCAGTGTTTTGCTGCCACTGGAATCAACACTGCCACATTGTCTTCCCTTGCTCCAGGTTCTCACCTTTTTCTCTGCAGATRCAGACATATTTATTCACCTAACAGGGAACTGCTTCAGAAATCTACGTCAGCAAAAAAGTTTGGGGTTGGATGTTTACAAGGGATAGGTGGGGGACTAGGTAGCTGCTTGTAGTGAAAGTGTCTCAGTTACTCAAGAGGATGTGCCAAGACAAAGAAAGCAGCAGAAATGGTSCTGCTTCCATTTAGCCAGCTGTATTGGCAACCTGCACTTTTAGCTTCCACCAGGCCCACTCAAAGAACACAACTTTTGAACAGATTCATGTTCTGTTTTTTACCTTTTGGACTCCGTTGTCTTGGGTCCTTTACTCTCCAACCAACTGGTAATTGTCCGCTGTTTACAAACTGAAAAACCACAGTACACTGTTACTATATGAAACATGACAAAACTGCAACATCATTGCATATGAATAAGGTAACTCRTAGATGGTGAAGATAAAAACACCTCAATTAAGCCTGCATTAGCATCTCTACTATAGGGAGCATCCAGACACTAGCAGTAGTAATACATGTGATGCAATATTTCATTTGCATCAGCCAGCACCTGTAGGTTTTGTAACAATCTTTATAAATTCCAGGCTTGGTGTGTGGTGGGAGCTGTTTCATCCAACCACCTGGTTTTAAAATATGGTTAAAAAGGTGAAAAATATACAGTGAATGTATATTCACTTGAATTCAGTAGAATTCAAAAAATCCCAAAGAAACTTGAACATTTTAGCCCTCATCATTAATTTTAATCACCACCACAGTTGGCCCCAAAAACTTTTGCTGAATTTTGGAATGAAGAGGCATCATAATATAACTTAAAATCAAAAAAGAACAAACAACAAGGCATCTTTGAGGACTTATCCAAGAACTTTATTTGCACTCAACACACTATGAAACAAAAGGCTCAATATAGGCACAGCACACACTAAAAGTGACAAGCACTTATWAAAGGACTTTTTCTTTTCTCCTCCACCCATAAACAGTTTGAAAAGCTCTTCAATGTTTACTCCCCTAAACACCAACAAAATGAAGGCCAATTTTTCAGATTTACTACCAACAACACACTTCCAGTCTTATCTGCGTGTTGTTGCAGCTCAGACAAGCTTTCAATAGAACAGCAACATGTGAACTAATTGTGCAGAGATTCTGGGGGGGAAATAGGGAGAAAAACATTCAAAGCAATTCTTTCAAAACTAGAAAACAGTCTTTATTAATATAAGAGGTGTTTAGGTTTGTTGTTGYTATTCAAAGATATTCTGCAAATTTGGCAACGAGCTTCAATTTCCTTTCTTTCCACTTCCCAAGAGAAAGCATCTACCTGCCACAACTGAGTGTGCAAGGTGTTTGCTCACTGCTTGCAGCTGGGTAAGTAACAGCTGTAGTATTTTACTGTAATTGATAGTTTCACAGAACTGAAAAGACAGTACAGCATCTCTGGTTCTTCTGATTCTGAGAATGGGAAGACTCGGCACTTTTCTGCAAATGGAGGTTGTGTAACTTGTAACAAAGATAGCTTAGGCCATAGGTAACTTGAGAGACATTGTTTCAWARACACTTTCCCTAACATTCAAGGCCYTGAACACTYCTACACAGTTGTTTCTCAAATATCCTTACCAGAGGATATCAGAATTTCTAGACTGAAAAGTAATCCCCAGAAAATATTTAAATCAATTTAAGTTCTTCTATAATGGCAAAACTGACACCATCTGTGTTCCGAGAGCCATGGCAACCTGGATACATGCTTACAAGCACAATACTTGCGCCATAATCAGCCATTCATAAACACTCAGCTTCACCCCACTCAGACAAAAATAAGACTAATAGATTTTATTAACTACAGTATTTTCATTTCAAAAGATTCACTAGATTGAAGCCAAGTAACCATTCTGATTACCAAATTTTACCTTCTTATATTTGAAGTGTCAATCCAAATTGCCGACAGGTAAGCAGCCAGAAAACCCCAAACAAAGAAAACYGAAGAGACATGTTAAAACATGGGACAAATAAACCTCTTCAAAGCAAACTRAATATCTCCTGAGGTATAAACTTGTGCTGAGGAAGAAATACTTATCCATTAGCACAATAAAAAGAAATTATGGCAGCAGCACCAGAACAGAAAAAAATGGCTTTGGTTTGAATTTCAACATGTCAGTAGCCATGTAAGTCCTCCAACCAATATAAAACACATCACTCTCAGACTTACAGCATGGCTTCTTGCTACAGATAAGGTGGTGAAAACAAGAAGCAACAAAAAGACAACACATTATTATTTTCAGCATAAACAACAGAACCAGACCTTGCTGTCATTTTTTTGAAGTGCCATCKAGATTTCTACTCAAGATTCCCCAAATCATTCCCATAAAACAAASCACTCCCTACAATCTACCTTTGAAGAAAATAATTTTTAGAATATTCTTATTTATTACTCTGTAAGTGTGTATACCTCTAAATTTAAACTRTTAGCTATTCAAAGTTGCCTCTTAGTTAGGGGTTAGTGAGGTTTAACTCATCAGCTGCAGATGACAACAAATCTGGGYTCTTTTYCCCCTTCCACRCATCCCTCTSTATTCCTGAAAGAGGTATTTTACTRTGCATTAAAATTTTACTTTGACAGCGTTAGCTCCAAATGGAAAATAAAACTAAACCTTGCGGAAACTCTGTCTGCAGAGCTTTGTTAGGGGGCAGGAGGAGCAGCCACCCCCACCCCATGGGGCCAGCAGCGCTCCAGGCTGGCAGCCACGCACTTATGGGAGCTCCTGTCATCACCCTCATCTCTCTATGTGTGTCAGCCTGGCACAACCCCGCTCAAAGCCCTTTTTCTCGCAGCAAGTATTTGTCCTCTCTCTTGCGGAACACGCTACCTTTAGCAGYTCACACCTCTCTTCAATGGTTTGCACTGTCAGTGGAAATGGCAAAGAATCAGGCACAAAACCGGTACGAAGGTCCTACACCCAAAGCTGTCTCCAAGGGGAAACAGCGTGCACTGACCACACCATTGGGTTGGGATACGGAGAACACGCTGGCACCGAGAAGGGAAGTTAGAGACAATTCCAGTCGGAGGTGGAAGGGCAGCTCCGGGGAGGCTCCGTGCACAAGCACACACGGGCCCCGCCGTTCAACGCTGCCCACACCGGCAGAGAGGGACACGGTGACCCGCGGAGCCCCCGGCCCGGTCGCCTCCTTCTCCTCCTGCTTTGCCCTGGGTCGGGCTGGCGGGGGCAGCCGAGCAGCGCTCCCAGCTCGGGCCAGCTCAGCGCCCCCCAAGCTTTGCAGGCAACGCCGGCCCGTCCCCGCACCCCGACAGGGAGCGATCGGCCCAAGGGAAGGGGGTCAGCACGGACCCCAGCGAGCCCCGCTCCGCGCCCGGCCGCTCCCGCCGCCCCGGGGCCAATACAAACCTTTATTCCCCACGGCTGTGGCGGAGCTGCTGCCCCCGGGCTCCTCCAGCCGCTCTCCCTGGGAGCCGCCGCCGGGGCTGCCGGGGCCGGGCCGGGCTCTCTTCCGCGGGGGTTCCCGCCCGCAGCCCGCGCTCATCCTCGGCGGGGCCGCCCTGCCCGCCGGGGCCGGCCGGCACCCGTCCCCCGGGGACGGCGCGACGCTGCGACAGCGGCTCCGCCCGTCCGCATCCTCCGTCCCGCACGCCGGGCTGTTCCCAAGGCGCGGGAGGCGCAGCGGGGCCGGGARCGAGCCGCGTCCGGCGAGCGCGGCCCCTCACTCGCACCAAGATGGCGGCCGGCGCGCCTAACCCCGTCACCATGGGGACCGCAAAGCAGCAGGGGCCAGCAGCACTTTGCGGCGCTTTACGGCGGCGCTTTGCGGCAGTCGTTGGCGGTGGCGAGGCCGGCGGGCGCGGGGCCGCCATGGAGGGCGGCGGGAACTCCAAGGGCACCGGGCTCGGCGGCCTCTTCGGCGCCGGCGGGCTCGGCTACTCGCACGCCGACCTGGCCGGAGTGCCGCGTGAGTATCGGGGTGGCCGGCGGAGCCGCCCCGGGGGGCAGTGTCCGCGCACCGGCCGCTGCAGGGCCGGGCGGCCGGGGCCGAGAGCGGCGGCGGTGCCGATTCGGGAATCAGTGCGGGCCTGAGGTGGTGGTGCTCCGTYACCGCCCGGCCGCGGGGAGCCGATCCCGACCCCCGGCGCTGGCTGCGGGTGGGGSCGGAGGGGTCAGGCCTCGGCGGGACCGCGTGCCGCGCTGGGCGCTGGTCACAGCGACATGGTGTTCACCTCATGCCGGCGGTGAACATSAGCCCGGCCCGACATGGTGTTCACCTCCCGTTCCGCCTCCTGGACAGCGGGAGTTATCGTCCGGTGCCGCCTGTTAAGGACTTGGGCAACTTCACGGCAGAATTTTCCCTTCTGCCCCGCACGAGATCTGCCCCTTTTTGCCTTACAGGATGTGAATTGTTTCTACGGAAGCTCGTGTTAAAGCGTKCTATTTCTTTTCCTTTCAGTAACTGGGATGAGCCCTTTGTCGCCCTATTTAAACTTGGACCCCAAGTATCTAGTACAGGTGAGAAGATGGCTTGTTTTTATCGTGTTGAACTCGATTCCGGTGTTTATATGACCGTAAGTGAGCACCTCGAAACTCCTTCACTGCTGGGGACTGTATAGTGAAGTCTTGAACTGAAGAACAGTGGAGAGRAACAATTCTTTCAGTATTGCCCCTAATAAAAGTTTACAGTTTCATGACATCTAGAAGAAAATGACCAGTGAKAATGCAGGGAATAGGTAGGGCTGTTGTGTGGATACGAGCCTGCTGCTTTTGAAAAGAGATCTCCCTCTCTGCCTTGAGGCAGACAGCCCACTACCACCTCACACAATTTCTGGCACTGCTCACAGCTTCTACTGAGCCCCTTCAACCAGTAAGAGCAGCCACAATCTCTCCCCTTTTTTCATGGATGAGTTTTCTGAGGTGTTCAGCCAAACACCTTAATGCATTATTGTATCAGCTGATAACAGTCTTTGCCATCACAGCAGCAGCAGCAAATCTCACACCACTCTTTATGGCTTTACCCAGCTGAAGGGAGACCACCGTGAAGTAGAACTTTCCATTTTATTTTACAGAAGAATGTAGCTGTCACACTTGCACAGCTTAACATTAGTTAATATAAAATGAGGCCATCATAAAGGAAAAAAAAAAGAAATCAAGTAATGTTTTCCTTTTCATAAATATTAACTGTATCTGAAAATGTTTAATCCAATTAGGATGCATATCAATGATTTTATTTAGTGAATATTTTTCTATATACATGGCTCATAGTATTTAAGAACATTAAATTTTGTAGAATTGGCACTGACGGTCAACACTTGTATGTGCCTTGTTTCATGGTACACTGCCTCACTGTTTTGTAACTGAAGCACTGCATGCAGTTCTGGAGTCTAGAAGCTTTTGTAGGCCAGATTACAATGTAACATTCCCTTAAGGATGGAAAACAGCTGATGTGCTTCTGCTGGAACTGGGTTCACTGCTGTGGCTGCTGTTGATGAGTGGTCAGCAAGAATATTTAGACTTCCCAAAAGCATTTTTTTAAAGTGCTCTTGTTTAGTTAGTGCAGTTTGTCTGAGAACGTGTTGGTGTTTAAAATGGTATAGCAGAGATTTTGGAACAAAGTGTGTGTATCCTAAGAAATTTTAGATATGAGAAGTTTGCTTTAATTAAAAAGGTGTTGGCATTAGTCTCATGATGCAGTTCTAAAAATACTTGTTGGTGTAACACTATAGTCTGTGTTGTAACACTTGTAGCTCTTCATGTTTAGTTCTAGTATTGAAGTAAAAGGAAAGTGCATTGAAACAAAAGGGAATTCCATTTAAATGTGAGAATTATTTTTTTTACCTGGACAAGTTGCCCACACAAACTGTGAGTTAATCTTCCTTAGAGAAGCACAAGACCTGGGAATGGCTGTGAGTGCCCAGCACTAACTTTTAACAGTGGAGATTGCACTAAACAGTCTCCACAGGTTCCTAGGATTCTAAATAGTGAGGGGAAAAGACATAGCTAATATTAAATTATTAGCCTTTAAATTTGGAGTTTCTGTAAAGGTGCATGTCGAGAGGTGAGGGTCTCCTGGTGTTTGCTACTATCTGTTTGCTTACAGAATGCAGCAGGAAAGTCAGCCTTACTGTTGAGAATCTYACCTTTTGGTTCTGGTCTTGCCATAATAACAAGTGGTAAAATGGTACTCATTACTTTAAATGCCACTGTTGTCAGTCCATGAAAGCAGGCACAGAACTRGGTGTTTTCTGCAATGCTTTGTTGCCTGTAGCAGGTACCTGTTGTAAATTAGCTTGTCAGCCTTTGGCAGAAGCCTAGAGAGAGGGCTTTTTAGGTTGTCTCTGGAAACTTAGGTGTTACATGGACAAGAATTGCTTCATCTTGACTTTTGGGACAGTAGTGAAAACTGTTAGAAACTAACTAGTACAAATAGCGAATTTCTTCACCTATCTACTTACAAGGAAGATAGAAACCATATTATAGGTACATTTTGTTGATACAGTGTTTTAGAAGCTATTTTTTCCATATTGCCATTCACATTTATTGTCAAGTGTGGGCCAGTAAAACCCCTTGGAATGCATTTCCTCGAGCCTACAGCTGTTGGAGTCACATATCAGTTAAGTAGGGGGTGGATAATACTGTGACTGAAAAGCACAGAAGCTTAAAAGGGATCTGCTGCTTTAGCACCTTATCAACAACAGGCATCTTCAGTGTCTCATATTGATGAAATGCCTTASCACACCTTTTCTCTATACATATGCCAGTTTCTCTAGGCCATTTCTCTAACTTTTTAGACCACTGATTTACAAGACTGCAAGCCTGTGGGGGAAAGATGGACAAGTGAAAAATTAACCTACCATAGTTCATGCCTGATTGTCACCAGTTTTGAGTGTATTGCTTTTTTTCACATCCTCAAAATAGGTCACTTATTTCAGTGCAAGGAAATACTTTTGGTATAAAGACAATTTTTATTTAGTATCAGAGAAATGGGAAACCTTAATGCATTATTGTATCAGATTGGGTTGCTCWGAGAAAACAGTGCTGTGTAATCAGACAACAGGAAGATTTTTGGAATGCTTGTTTTGCCTGCTGCAAGATCCAATAAATAATTAAGCAAATAGTCATTAAAAACAAAAACAAACAACAACCCACACAGTATGAGTTCCATGGCTGTCTGGTGTAATTTATAAAAAGTTAGGACACAGCTAGGGAAAAAAAAAAAAAAGCTTTCAGTCAATTTATCCTTTTACAGTTCTTTTTCATGCTTAATAAAGTATACACATAGTTTATTCCATCTCTGTGCTACTGTAGGCAAGAATTTTCCAGAAATACTCATATCCATCTTTAGTTTATTGCATGGATTAGAGGGAAAAAAAATAATATTGCCTACATATTTGGAAAATACCAAAGTGTTTGTTTTTGTTTTCCCTCAGGATACAGATGAGTTTATCTTGCCCACAGGAGCCAACAAAACTCGAGGCAGATTTGAGTTGGCCTTTTTTACCATTGGAGGATGTTGCATGACAGGTAGGTGGTTGTGGTTTTCACTTTTCTCACCTGTCCAGGTAACAACTATGCACACAGCAACTGATGAGATTGCAAATGTCTTTTTCTGCAAGGCATTGTCTGTTCTAGTCATAAGTAAAGACTGAATTCTATTCTCAGTATATGCWTCTTATATTGTTTGTGGGTTTTTTTGTTCTTCTTCTTCTCAAAAAGTAATAACTGATATTATTCCAACAGGGGCAGCATTTGGTGCACTGAATGGTTTGAGACTTGGCTTGAAGGAGACACAGAATATGGCATGGTCAAAACCTAGAAATGTACAGTAAGTGTTTCATCTAAAAAAGCCCCTGTACTTCTTAGTGAGAGTTGTTTCTTCCAGCTTAAACAAGATTAGATCTAAATATACTGGAAAAATAAATGTTTTGGGGTTTTTTTCTCTAGTGGTGACAAAAGGGAGTCAATATTTGTTTTCACTAAGTAATGACATGTTTTTAGTTATAATGGTGTTCAGTTCAACCTTTCTGCTTTTCATTTAGTCACAATTGGTGCATCCTTTGACTTTCCTTAAATATTTGAGAATTAATTGCTACTTTGATGTTTAATTACTACTTTGATGTTTACTAAAAATCTACTTCAAAGTCAAAACAGTGGTTCTATATGTTGAAATATTCCCACAAGYAGCAATGTTTGCTTTGAGCTATTTTTTACTATAATTTATCTGAAGGCGAGTCTCCTTTCCCAAGCTTTTCAAAACCAGGAAAGGATTAAAATGCAGGAGCTGGGCCTGCCTGGATTTGCATTAGGGATGACATTGGTGCATGCTGCTGAGCAGGCATTGCATGGAGGAAGCTGATCTGGATTGTGGCATCCATGAACACTCATGACATTGCCATATTCTCACYTTACCTGATTGTTTGAAAGAGCACAGAAACATCTGTTTGAAACAGGATGCCTCTTCTTAAAATAATGGTGGTGTRGACATAGCTATAGAAAAACCTAAGTGAAAGAGAAATAGGAAACCAAAGGAGCAGAATAACTGGGGGAAAACGATTTTCACTCYCAGAATATTTTGGAACAAGGGAATTTTAGAGGAGAAATTTAATATTTCCTGGTATAGTTTATATATTTATGGTTTTTAATAGTTTCTGTATTCATTCCCTTCTTTATCAAAATGGTCACCACTACAATTACAACTCTTTCATAACATTCTAGATGAACAGAATTGTATTTTATGTGGTTGGAATGAGCAGAGTTGAACAAAACCATGGTGTTAAGCACAAACTTTGGCAGGTCAAGCCCAGGAGGTGGCAGTCAGTGCACACRCTGCTCTTATCTTGGCCCTGCAAGGGAAAGGCCTGCTGAAGGTCATCACCTTCCAACAGTGCACTGAGTTCTGTGTTTTSTTTATCAGATACAGAGAACAGACTTGCCTAGATAAATTTCTTCAAAAATTTATCCTTAATGTACCCAGATTTTTTTAATGAATTTGAATTTTGCTGTTATTCCCCTGTCATCAAATATCTCACAGTATGTCATGGTTATTAAAACTAATTTTCTCATCAATTCAGAGTTAATGTAGTTAAAAAGTGAGGCTGGGGATTGTATTTAAGGAGAAATTGTCAATACTGTAGACTCTTGGACTTCTTTTCTCATGTTTCAAAATGAGGTTTTCCATTATTGTTTAGTTCATTGCCTAACCATAATCAGTAATGACCTGTGACCTAATGAAAACTATGAAAAAAGGTAAAAATAGCAGAAAATCAAATCAGAAGGAATATAAAGCAATGAAAGTGTCACACACAATAAACTATGAACTCAGTGCCAGTGGTAGTCAGCTGTCCAGAGCAATACTATGCCTGTGATAGTGTTACACTGCTGGGAGATAAAGACCAGTCATTTCTTCTGGCTGCTGTTGTCACCGTTCTGGAGACAGCTGGTGCCAAAAAGAAGTGKCATTGTGCTTCTCTGAGAGCGCACTAAAGATTTTCTTTCCCTCTTTAGTGCTAGTCTGGAAGCCTACATGCAGACCYCACATACAGACACACCTCTTGGCCTTTGCTGAAAGCTGAGTGRACAAATGGGATTGAAGGGACTGCCTCTTTTCTTCCTGATTTGCTGCAGCCCAGACATTTTTATTACCCATTCCATATGCTYAGGCATCCCCACATTCCCTGACATGTGGTCCTTGTAGAGGAGAATTGAGGCTTTCTTGGAGACCTTTTACCCCGTTAAGTCTACATACAGGTCAATTCCAGGAGTTGTGTGTAGTTACCACATAAGGAAGGAGAACTCAAGTTGGAAGTCATTTGAAGGGAAGATATTTGAGTCTTGGCAACAGTCAAGTTTGCTTTGAAAAGAGAGGAAGTTTTTCTTAAGACATGATAGGACTGAATATTTGCTTTCAAGAGCTTTTAGTTAAYTATTGCAGTTTTATTAACCAAACATATAGTGTAAACAAACAAGCCCTACTATCAAAAACACTGCCTTGATGTAAATAGAGTGCTAAAGGTTTTTATACTTTTTTAACTCCTTTATAGAATTCTAAATATGGTGACAAGGCAAGGAGCATTATGGGCTAACACTCTGGGATCACTGGGTAAGTAAAGTCATTCCTTTATAGGGAAAGCAATTTAAAGATGTAATTGTTGAGAAAGTTAATTTGTGTATTATCTGAACAAGARTATTCTCTAAACTTTCATTATTAAATCCATCAGGTAAAAGTGCAGGTTTTTTTTCTTTGGGACATGAGGGCATTTCAATAGACATCAAAAAGGAAATTAAAGGCTAGAATTGGATCTGCAGTATAAGGAACCTAAAGCCTTTAATTAACCCAATTTGTTTACTATTCATTTACTATTTTTATTTACTATTACAACCCAAATTGTTTACTATTTTACAAACAAACTCGAGCTGTACTGGAACTAACTAGAAATTATAGTTAATGTTTACTTGTTAATAAAGTAAAAAAATATATTTCTGAAATATAATATAAATATTTCTTTAATAACCTACATCAAGACTCTTTGGTCATGTGATCAACTGCGTGATGTTTGTTTCCTGTTAGAGTCAACAAAATGCTTGAAGAAGAAATGTGATAGTSACTAGAAAGATTTATCCTTTAATGRTGGTACATTAGCTAGAAAAATTAAATGATACCACCCACTCTAAACCTAAATGTTGCTTATAACTAATGAGGGTTAGAAAAAAAGAGAAAAGAAAATTATCATGATTTATGAGAAAAACTTCTGTAAACTGAGGTTTGGGTGGGGAGGGAGTTATGAAACAAAATCATGTCAGTTGCCTCAGAAAAAGAAGATTATTTCATAAAAGTCAGTGAAATAACTAATGCCCTAGRGATTACAAATTTTTGTCCTCCCCCTAGTCTTCCACAATCTTAAAAAATGAAAACTGACACAGTTACTTTGAAAGAAGAAATTAARAACTGATGAAACTATTTTGAAGAAAAATAATGATGGAACTCATTGTCCTACAAAGTTGTAATAGGAGTTAGCAATATTTAAATCAGAGATTTAAATATTAAACACATTATAACCCAGTCTACATGTATTTTTTTACCTTTTCAGAAATGCATCAAAGCATAGGCTAGGTTGCATTTATGACAGTTTATTTCAGTCTTATTTCTGAAGAGCAGATTAGCTGCCATTAAACTCAGGCATTAGCTTTTGAGGCATAATATAGAGGGCATGGTTAGAGACAGAATTCTGAACTACAGCAAGAGTGGCACTTTTTCCATAAGAAATGTWTATTGCCAAGTGGGTTTTATTATGCCATTTTTTGTTTGGATTTTTCTTTTTTTTTGTTCCAAATCTAATGAAAACACGTCTGAGAAATGAGACACAGGCACACTGCAGTTCAAGGTTTCAGTTTAAGTGACACATTAACAGGTTTTTTCAGCTGTGTTTGAAGAAAGATTACTCAAGAAAATGTTTGTGCATTCCAGTAACAAATTGTTATTTTTCTTACAARATATGGCCTCCAAAATCACAGAGTTAAGCAGAACTTTATATTTGGGGTTCTGGTAGAGCTCTGTCTGTCCCAGCTACCAGAGAAATTCTTTTCAAGGATCTGAATAATTTTTTTATCTTACTGGACTTGTGCAGCATTTATGTACCTCAGAGGTTCTTTGTCACTACTGACAGTTCTAGTCATTCGGTTGCTGAACAGAGGCAACATCTGTGTTGAACTATTTYTAAAAATTGTGTTAAATTCAGCTTTTCCTTCCCTCAGTATTAATCTACTTGCTGCTAAGACAAGCTAAAATACCCTTGCCTGTCCTGATTGGAGAATGATGGTGCTGTTCAACTCATTTACATTGTTATGGTTGTTTATGAAGGATTTACTGTCTTTTAGCMAAGAAAAGATTTTAAATTATTGGAAGGCAAAGAACAAATTAAATGGCATTGTCTTTATGACTTTAAAATGATGACACACTGCACTGTTCCTTACCAGCATGAAATATGAGCATATCATGAGGGGTGAGGATGGGGGGCTTTTCCCTTCATCAAAATGCATAAATGATAAATACATCCATACTAAAAAGCCCATGCTTATTCTTTCTAGTCCTTTCCAGGACAGTCCTTAAAGTTATCCCAAAGCAAAAGGCCCTTTGGGGATAAAGATTTCATCCTCAAGCAGAGGAGAAACAGCTGTAAATGTCAAATCCCAAGCATTCTAATAGGCTTTTTCAAAAGAAACATAGCCCATTGTACTCCAGCTCTTGCTGATATGATATGAATGCTGTACTTAACTCACATTTCATCACTGTCACACAGTGGACAGCAATTATCTCTGCTACCTTGAAAGTGTTCGGTTTAGTTTCATCCCATCCACAAAAGACAGTGTGAAATTGGCAGTACTAATTTAAACCCTCAAAAGTCTTTTAAACAAAGTCAATTTAGCAAAATAGGCCTAAACTTTAGTCAGTGCTTTACATCCCATATTGGCATGAAGAATGCTACTTTATAACCAAATTATAGCTCAAGAAGGAAGAAATAGCTATAAAGAGGTCTGGAAAAGAAACACCAAAGAAGAGATTTTGCAGAGGATTCCCTTTAAATAAGCAGAAAATCTGTGCTTCAGAAACATAGTCTAAATAGCTACCCCAAACCTGGATTCTAAGCTTTGGGCCTCARACAATGGAAGGTTTTTTTAATCTTTTTTCTCCTCTCAGCTCTACTTTACAGCGCATTTGGAGTCATCATTGAAAAAACACGAGGTGCAGAAGATGACCTGAACACCATAGCTGCTGGAACCTTGACAGGAATGCTATATAAAAGCACTGGTAGAGTAGCAAAATATTTCTCCTTTTACTTTTTTTGTGCACTGTCCTACTTGTTAGGATTGTCRTTACTTTTACTAAATACTGTTCTGCTCTGAAAATTGACAGTGTAAAAATGGCTATTAGCTCAATGTACCCTAACCCACAATGTTTTTCTTACAACTAARGCTACTTACAGAAAACTTGCCCTAAAAAAAAAAAATCCAGTTGAATTAATACCAGCATGGATTTATGGTGATTTTGCTGATGCAAACGGAATTGTTTGTAGGAGAGAGGGTCTGAGCTTCATCAGCAAAAGGCCTATCAACACATGTTCCAAGTTTAACAATTGGAGGTATCATCTTTTTTAGAGGATTGCTGGGTACCACAGACAGACATTACCACATGGAAGAAAGTCATGTGTTTTAAGTAACTCAGTAAATGTTTGGTTGTATGAGTCACCTGCATTTTATAGAGGAGATAATGCAAGAATTAACCTATGTATTTTTGTCTTAAGCATTCCTGAAGGCCATCTTTGCATATGGGGYAAAACAGTTTGAGTAATTCTCTTTTCCTGATTGTTTAGACTACCTGAAGCCACAAATAATTGGCTTGAGCAGCCTTCATAAATATGAGACTTAACTTTACAGGCACATGGCTCTCCTATACTCCATTACTTCCTTGGGATTTCATGAGTGATATGACAGATTACCGAGAACAGCTAGAAAGGGTAGCATGTAGAAGCCTAGTGTTTTCTGTAGCAGTGTATTAATAAGGAGAACTATCACCTTACACTCCAGCAGAAGCATCCCCCTTACCTTTCAAAAGTATAGAGCTGGCATTCTGTGTAATCTTTTTTTGGCACAGTGCAACCACAGAGAACTACTTCAATCACATGCACAGTCATCTGACACTGCTACAGTTTTTCTTACCAGAACACAGTGGGACTTTTTGTTTTGTATCAGAAGATCTACAGARCTAATAGTAGCCCTGATCAAGGCAAATGAAGGCAGTAAATCTCTATTCATTACAGTATTGTATTTCAAGTGTGTGTYGTTCACATGGACCATAGTGCAGAGAAACTGCTGCCTCTCCTGTSACCTTATACCAAAAAACCCTTTCTTATTCTGTATGGTAAAACTTGCAAGTTTTGCCATTACCTTGCATCAATACATATTTTTACCTTAAAACCTTGAATATCTAAACTGTATTTAAACCATGCARAAGATCAGTCCACATTTGTGACATATCAAGACTGCAATAATTTCCTATGTTACATGGAATGCAACATGTTGTGTTGTGTTGGCTTTAAGAAAAGGAAAAATTTAGAAGCTGTCAAGGACTCTTAGTTATGAATCTCCCTACTTTAGTGTCAGCTGGAAGCTCACACAAATGTGCCATTGCAAATCAAGGCTGTTCTATAATCCACAAAGGGTGGATACAAARTTGCAGGGGGTGCTGTTCAAATGCTCACATTTCCCACTTCCATCATTCCTGCTTTGTAAAGAGATCAGGAACATAYTTAAGAAGAAACTGGACAATGTATGGCAGGTATTTCATTATAACTACATGTCTAAGCACAGCACTGATGGAAGAATCACATCAGCAGCCCTGCTGCACTGAAAAGCCTTCTTGTGTACTCTGCAGAGCCTAGATTGAATATCTGAAACAAACGATTAGCATTTGATGAGTGGATGGAAAAAAATAATGGGAAGACTTTGTGAGGGCTGAGATTGGTTGCCCCAAACTGGTCCCAGTTTTCACAATTTGTCCTTGTAAAAGYGTTAATCATTACCGAAATGCCAGCAGTCAAACAGAATGAGCACGTTCTAAGCCATTGATTGTGAGCAGTTTCGTGCAAAGCTACTTGACACAGCTTGTGTGGGAGAAGATAAGAGGGGATTGAAAACTCTGCAATTGAGGACTGTGGCAGTTCAACCCTCTCCCTGTGTTCATTGGCAGTGCCTTCAATCACTGGAAGTTCCCCATCGAAGGCACTGAAGCAGTTAAATCCCCATTAAAAGCAGCTGGGCTCCTTCTCAGCATTGCTGCATGGCTTAGGTTAACAGCCCCTGCATTGAGTGYGGGTGGAAAACTGATGGGAGGAATTTTGAAACATCTGCTTCTTGATTCATCTGACCAAAGTGATCTCCAGCTTTCACATTTATTTCAATTTAAATTAATTGCCACAATTACTGACTAGATTTTAGCCCAAATGCAGCAATAAGAGTACCTATTAATTTGTTCTACCCATCTTACAACCTTATGGGAGCAACTTTTTGAGCTCATCACTTAATTTCTACCCAGAACATTCAGTTTGGGTAACAGTTAAAATAAAACCCTTTGTGTTCCTCTGCCAGTGGTGTATGCAATAGAAATTTTACAACAACTCACTCAGTTCGAGTTTTGCTAAAAGGGGGTCTGATATCCTAAGTCCACAAAGATGGCTTTTCCATTTAGTAAGATACTATTCTTTACTCTTCAATTTTAAGCAAGGGCAGAAATTAATATCTGTTATGCCAGATGTTTTCTGATAAATGTTACAAAGCAYAAACACATTGAACAAATGTTTAACCTCCTTGCATGCATTTTGAGCATCTTTTCTAAACCAGCCATCTTTGTTTTCTCATAATCGTGTTAGTCATTGGAAGTAACAGAAAAAAACCCAAACAAAAATGATTATCACTGTGCACTGTCACTGTTATACCCTCCCACCATGAGAATGCACGTAGATCCACTTGTCACAAAGTACAGCTGGCTGAGGCTCCTACATTCCTCAAGCATGCAGGATTGATTACTCAGGAAAAGAYACTAGGTGGGACTTTTGGCCTGACCCAGTGTGACAACCATTAATTTCTCACTGGAATTCTTAACAGACTTAGTAAGCAAAACAGCTAACTAACCTTTACCTCTTATCTGAGGGTTACACAGGTTGTAGATGWTCTTTTTCTTGGATAATTATTTTCCTTTCTTGAGGTTAGAGGTAACAGGAACAAAAGCAAAGTAACGCTTTAGACAAACGAAACTCCTTAGTTTACTTTTGCACTGTAGGAACCCGATCTTAGGTACAGCATCTTGTGCCTTTGAAACAGTAGATGTTACATATTTGGTACATAAAATGGTGTGTTTCCAAAAATGTCATTAGAAAATGACATCAGACCACCCACAGATGTTCAAACAAATGACTGCTTGATGGTTCAGATGGTCTGGTTACTGAGCTTGAATTTGGAGAAAAACTGAGATTGCCTTGTACATTTGAGAAGTGACCCCTTTAAACCATTTTAAAGTATTTTTGTTCCTGAAAGCCCAGAAGGAAGATATGCTTTTTTCATTCAGAGTATCTGACAGAGATTGGAAGACAGAAAATAATCAGGTCAGGTYCTAAATGGAAGATTTTGCCCTCATGGTTTTCCCTTCTGGTACAAGTGCAGTTCGGTGTCAGGAGTGGCTTCTGCCATGATGAAATGCAGAGCTGTGCTGTTGGAATGCTGTGTGTCATGGCACAGGGCACTGGAATGCTGAGCTGTGTCATGGCACAGTGTGTGCTGGAACCTACTCAAAAGGCACAGAGGAGGGACAGTATTTGGTGTTGAACGGGTGCAGCAGCTAAAGCCAGAGAACCAATTTCCCATTTAGAGAGCATCAGGTCTATCTTCAGAAATCCACAGAAGTTCTCAAGTATTGTGCAAGGTGCCTGATCTCAAAGTACCTGCTTCCAGAAGTGTCTGTCAGCTGGAACCTTTATCTTACTGGGACATGCAAGATTAGGGACTTACCGCCCTGTTTCAGCAGGGTTTGTCAGGGCAGACCTGGTATCAAAGGCTTGCAGAGRGTGATTGCAGAGGAGGGGTGGGAACGTGTTCTATCATGCAAACACAGCTTGGATGGGAGTGGAGAATTTGTTGGGGTTATTTTTTGCTAACAAGTTAATTTTCCCAGAGGGCCTAACATTTTCTGCCCAGCAACTGGGCTGTGTTCTGAAGTGCCTTACTGTTTGAAGTCTGCCACAGACCTGGACATGCTTACTCAAATGCAAATCTGACCAGCTAGGGAAAGGAAAGTTTTYTTTCCCTTATGTTGGAATTACTGTGGGTAATTGAGAAACCAGGAGCAACTTCTGCTGCTGCAAAAAGAGACATTTATRGTATGCAGAAGCATACTATAGAGAACCTGGCAAACAAACACTTCATATTTTCTTGGATATTTTCTCTTCAGTCATGCACCTATACCAAGTGCACAAGTTTAGTCCCTGTTCATGAAACATCTCCAGCAATGTCCCTAAGTCATCTGCAAGCCTTCAGATGGCTTTAGGCCCTCTGGCTGACCCTTTGTCCATGGGTTCAGAGCTGCCATCCTTACSTGGCTGGCTCAGCACATGAGAACACCAATGTTCATTGTCTTAGAAGCAGCACATAAATCCACATGGGTGCTAGAAAGAAGCTCAGTGATTCAGATTAAAGATGATACCTTCCTTTTACAATSCTGACTTCACAGAATCTGGAGCCAGGCTTCAGATCTGCCTTCAGCTGCCTGTTCTTGCATAGGAAGAACAATATTTTWAGGGGAAGGGAGAGGAATTGAGCCTGGGGTCTGAGGGAAGAGCCTACAGGGATAGTCATAGCTCTGTACTGCATCGCATTCTTTCTGTGGAGCTGTTCCACATTTGCTTGCACTCCCAGTGGTCATGAGCCCCTTTTGGGAGTTTCTGCTGTGATCTCTTGATTCCTGATATGTACAGCAGAAAATTGGCCTCTAATGTTGTATTAATTTACCCCAGCAGGAACAAGGAGTCAGTATTTTTACAGATTATCTCAAATACTCGTTTTGCACAGAGTGTCCTTTAAATTTCATCTGTGGCTTTTTGCCAGACACTGCTTGCACACGGTTAGTTTTGTGTACCCAGCTGCAAGCCCTTCATATGAAAAGCTTTTTGTGTAACAAATTCAGGATCAATTAGCAAACACAGAAGTACATTTGCTTTCCTAAATGCTGATTTAGGCATGCAGAGCATATTCAGTAGGGTTTTCCTAAGAGCTGTTGAATTCTCAACAGTTACAGCAGTGAACTCAGTCTTATCCCCTAAAAAACTCTCCAGTTGTCACCACTAGTTTGGCAATGAAATTTCTAGAGACTGTGGCTAGACATGGCTTCTAGTACCAAGTCCCAGTTCTGCAGTTTCTTTGTTTCCTTGCATGCCTGGGCAATGTGGGGAGGTTCAACAACTGCAATGAAACCCATTCAACCTTGCAGCACAGGTAACAGTCTCAGTCCAGCTGATACCAACAGTRTCTTGCCTCACTAAAAGCTTAAAAGCAATTCTGTGAGACAACTTTATGACCCATAATGGAAAAAAAAATCTCTTTGTAATTACTGAGTTGCATTCGTTTTCAAGTTTGAGGAACCTGAATTGCACTGCCAGTTTCTCCAATAAAGCAAGGTTTTTTTGTCTTGCTGTCAGCAGAAGCTGGCCTTGTTCTATACACTGTACACATTATCTGGCCTGGTTTAACTGCAATGATAAACATTACAGAATCAAACTCACTGAAGTTTTCCTAGCATTGAGGGTCATACTCCCAGGTGTTCTGTGCATTTAGAGTGAATTATGGGAGCTCTACYGAGGCACAGCATTTTGCTGTTTAGTAAAAGCAACAGAAGTCTTTACATGTACCCCTGTACACCCCAGCCCTCACATGGATGGGATGGAGGTGGGATGCCACCTGACACTCAGCTCCAGCCAGGTGCACTGCCTGCAGGCAGTAGCCAAACTTGCCCTATATTTCTGCCTTACACTTCTGTGCTCACCAGCACCTTMAAACTTTAATCACCTGTGTGACTCAATTTTTGCCATTGCAAGGTGACCATTTTGAGTATTAAGACAAGTAAGAATAAAGAAAGCTGTTCAATGTACATCCTAGTAAATTCTTGCCAGTTAATTTTTTATCAAAAGTTTTAAAATTCCAAAGACACAAAAGCAATGATAGGTTCTCATKAAGGCCTTAATGAATCCCTGGAGCCTAATGTCATGTTCATATCAGCTGCTGTTTTGTTCACCTATTCCTCTCCTGCCCTTTCTCCTTCTGCACAGAACTAGTTACCATAACTGAAAACTTCATTTGYAAACTTTATTGGAGTTGTTCTTCTAGTGGGAGGAGAACATATCTAACTGTAAAARCAATCATATTAAGGACAGATGGAATAGAGTAAGTAGGACTTGGGAAAAGCCAYCTTGGCTTCCAGTGCCCTGTAATGGTTACCTGAGGCAGTAGTGCTAACATAGTTTGAGATGAAGTCATCCCAGCAGAATTAGTGTCAGGGTCAGGAATGACCAACCATGAGCCTGGCAGCAGGTTTAAGAGGAAGGTAGAAAAAGCACAGGGACCCTTTGTGGAGGGTTACTCAAAAAAGGACTGTTCATTAAGACACCTCTGGATTTAAACAGCTTCTTGAAAAGATGCTGTTTACTGACCATTTCCTCCAGTGTAACACTAATGAGCTGTAATGTGTTTTGTTTTCCAGGTGGAGTGCGTGGGATGGCACGAGGTGGCATCGCAGGTCTGACACTGACCGGCCTCTACGCCCTGTACAACAACTGGGAGCACATGAAGGGCTCCCTAGCCCGGCAGTCCCTGTGAGCAGGGCAGAGGACATGCTTGCTTAGTCACCAATCAAATCAGTTGTGAGATCTATCTGGTGCCCCTTGCTCTTTTATTTACAATTAGTGTGAAACTGATGGAAGCTGTGCTGGGAGGAACTTCTTGACACGGTGTAGCTGGACTAGCCCTTCCCTCCGTGCTAGCCAGTTGCTGGAGAGGCAACAATATTTGTTGGACTGGCAAGTGAACAGAGTGGCCACCAAGATAGTCTCCCTGCCACGCTCCCCAGGCAGCCCTGGCCAGAGCTGCCAGGCATGCTGGACCCCCATAGCTGCTCCTGCTCGCTGCCAGGTTTGTTGGGGTGCCTGCTAAAGTCTGTGTCCATAGAGCACTCCCTGGAGTCCCAGTGCCTCACGTGGCCAGCCTGGCAGCACAGCCCCAGTAACATGGCACAGGGCAGGGCTTGCTATTCTGACAGCACAAGGCAAGCTATCAAAAGGGACATCATCAGAATAAAAAGGGTGGTACTTACTCAATACCATTTCTATCCTTTGCTCTTCCTGCTATTGATAAGACAAAAGTGTGCTACATCCAGTGACCTRTTTAGGGAATCATTTTAAAGAGCCAATGTGGTGAAATTCTGGGGGGGTTGGTGGGTGAGGGGAGGTGGACAAGCAGGTTGATCATCTCTTATGGGTGATTATGGTAAGGCATACCAGGCCTTGACTTCACTTCCTTATTTACTCTAATAAAGAAGGAGCTGGTTGTTTATGGATGAAATACAGGTGCTGTTGCAGAACAACTGCCAGTGGATTATTGAAACACTTGGGTGCTCCAATATCTCAGAATACAATTAGAAAACAAAAAGTATAAAGACTCCAGTAATTATCTGTTACAGGACTTAAAATTAGAAAGAAACTTTTTGCCTGAGGTACCATTTGTAGGTTATAGGCAGAATGAAGACTATGATGAAGCCACACTTTCTCCTGTGTTGAAATTAGACCATGTACCAAGCATCATTTGCAGAGAAATTAAACAGTAAGTTGGGAATTAGTTCAGTAATTAGAGTTACTGTACAACAACTCATTCCTTCCATATTTAAATAATTAAACAACTGAATTATTAAAGAGGTCTGAGGACAGAGAAAGCAGAGCAAGGGAAAACCAGGAAACCTGCTGGTCAGGAGACAACTTAATGCATACCAAATTTACTTCTGAGTTTCTGCTACTTTTGAGTTTCAGCTCTTGAGAATTACACTGCACCCAATAAAGTAAAAACAACAAAAAACAGTAAAGGGAAGGTGGTAGCACTTACCTTCCCCCAAGAAGAAATWCAGCTTTGCTAAGAACCCTCCTCAGGAGGAAATAATTACTGACACCRGCTTTTTATAGAGCAAACGCTCCAACTAACAAGCCCTCGCAGCTGAATTCAATTAGCTTTGCTTGGATAMCAGGTCAAATTAGATGCTTTATGCCAGTGCTTAAAGTAGCATGAAGAAAACAGGCCTTTTCTTACCCCTTTGGTCAAAGCTGGTTTTTGTTAAGCCTTATATTTCAGTGTTTAGTGCTCTGCATGTTACTGTTGTGGTGTGAGAGCTGGCCTTTCTAGCATGCAAGTTTTCTAGACACTTGCAGGACTGAAACGTGACCCAGGAACTGTTTGCCCTAATTGAAGCTGGAAAACTTTAATCTAAATTGAAGATTAACAAATGTATTTCCTCCTTCAGGTGCACTGGAGATAACAAAGAAACAAGCCTTTTCAGGTTTATAGTTAGCACAAACCTTAAGGCTAGGCTGACTCTTGAACAACCTTGACATGTTATCTGGTCTGCAGTGTCCTCAGATGTTGTGGAATTGCTCATTTCAAGGGCAGAACTGAGAGCATTTCTCTGAAACATCTGTGTTACAGCTGTTCGGAGTTTGGTTCATAATCTGTTTGTATGTGGAGTGATCTATAGCTTGAGTATGAAACACAACCAGCAAGAGGCAGCGGTGAGGGAGGTGAATTGTATGATACAATACAGAGAATGTAGTCACAGTGTTCAGTTTACTGGCAATCAGCATAGAGTTGCTGCTTCAAATTGTGAAGCAGCAAAACTATCTCCAGGTTCACTAGGAATAGAAGTATGTAAAATCAAGTTGAAAGCAGAATTTGGCTCGAGTTAGAGCCCTCCCATTTATTCYTCATAAATGTGAGCATGGGAGACCTTGGCTGTCTTAAAGAGCAGGGTTTTGGGGCCAGTCAGTATCTTTGCTGATAGATCCAAGGCAGCTTTGCATGCTGCAGCACCAAATGAGGGAGCTGAGACAACAAGTGTAGTGAAAGGRTTTTGAGTCTTGTGAAGCCAGTTTTGCTTAGTCTTTGGAACAGAAAGGCAAATCCATTTGCACCATTCCCTGTCAGCAAGTGACTTCTCWTACAGTTGAATTTGTTGAAAAATCACTACTTAAGGTAGACATCTCCAGGCACCCTGAAGCAGAACCAGCTTCTGAAAACCAAAGGCAAAGGTATGTTAGGACAGCACAATGATCCAGTATTCAGTCTGTGTCCTGGGATCTAATCTGGAACTTCAAAAGGAGGAGAWAAATCCTTTTGTATGCTTTAACAGAAGATTACCCCTTTGCTTAATAAATTCTAGATAGGAAACCGGTATGTTTTAAGTGGAGCTGTGTGTACTGTCTGTGAGYATTGGTCTGTGCTGTTAAATGCCAGCCAGTGCAGGGACACCAGAAGGTACCCCAACCCTTTTTGGTACTTTCCCAGCATTATTAATACCTGCTGTGTGTTCCTCCTGGGTAGATCCCCTTCTGTCTGCCCCCTCTCYCCCTGCTCTGTGGGAACAGCTGTCCACTCACTCCACAGCTGGTCTGAGGACAAGTGAAGGGGGCTGGTGCCCCAGGAACCTGTGGCCACACTGTTCAGAAAGAAGTGGGAGGAAAGGAAGCATTCCTCAGTACAAGGCATCAATCTGGTATCTCAGCTTGTTCAAAAAAAAGTTCTCCAGCCCTTTGAGAACCCGAGAATAGCATTCTCTGTTCTGGCTACCTGTCCTTGTTATCTTGGGATAATTAAAAAGTATTTTGTCCCTCTCTTTGAAAGCTAAACACTCAGGATACACATTCAAGAGTTCTGCATGTGACTACTAACAATAGAATTTACAGTCCACTTTAAAAAAAAAGTGTGTGTGTATGTCTGTGTGTGTGTGCATGCATATCCCCACATGAAATTCTAAGGTATTGTGGTTTAAAGGCTGCCAGGCCCAGCTGTAAATATTCTCTTATTGAACAATGCAGGCTGGAGTTCAAATAACRGAAAATCCTCAGAGGAGGAACCAATCACACAGGGATGCTGATGTTCAAACACCAGYAAGACAGAGAAGAACTCACTTCCAATTGCACAGCCAGACCACAGATGTTGTTCAGTCATGACAGGACCAAATGCTACTAAAATCCATAAATCCTCTTGACGTATTCAAGGGTGGGAAGAAGCAAATGGGTCATTCTGTCCAAGTCGGTATTTCTTCCAACAGCTGAGTAAAGCCCAGGTGACTGAGACACACCGGCTGTGTGTCCCGTGGCTGACACTGCAAAATGGTGCCTGACTGGAGTTTCCCATGAGGTGTGTAGGGGTGGGCCTGGTCCCAGAGCWCCCTGTTTGGAAGCTCAGTGCAGCTCCAGGCAGTGGTGAAATGAACTAAAGCACATGAATCCAATCAGGATGGAAGCACGAGGGCAGCAGCTTCCAGAGGCAAACTGGCAAGGTGCCACAGCAGCTTTTGTTAACCATCTTGCAAATGAGACATAACACACACTCTGGTTGCAACTCTTTTTTAATGGAAAAGACTAATCAATGTTTTACATAAATATCAATTAGTGACAACAAGTCAGTTGAGTAAGTAAAGGAATACATACCCCAAGTCTTAAAGGCTCATAATGAACTGACAAAGTAGCACACAATGACAACTACAAGGAATTAAGTAGAAGAGGTGGGCTGCACATCAATCACCTTCATTAAGTTCAACTGCTAATCACATCAGGCTCTTATTGGAGTTAGTCACAGTGCAGTCTTCCMATACAGCAACAAGGACACATGGGAAGGGTAAAGTGAACTTCTGAAACACCACTCTGCCTCCAGCAGAAAGCCCTGTCTATGAAAGTACAAAAGCCTCAAGTGTTTTGCTGATGTTAAGCCCTTKCAGGGTCTGGTTTCAGATGTGCAGTCTCCCCTTCTCAGACTAAAAACTTACTTTTAAACAAATGCACAGGATCGACCAGACAGGAATGTGTTCACACTGCAAAGGTCAGCTCTTAATAATAATTTCTTTTCTACAGGGTTGTGAAGAACTCAGATCACTTTAATTCCCAGGCAGGCTGCAGGGATGGGGAGAGGAGGGCAAATTTTCATAGTCATTAAGAGCAATTTGTCAAGTAAAAGCTGCACTAGAAACTATGGAACTTCACAGTTTTTTCCATAGAGCCCGATAGGCATGATCCACATTTCCATCCAGTGCGTTTGTACTCATTCCTACAAGCTCAAAAGGCTGAATATCTGAAGAGGTATTGCTTATATTATGTCCACAGCTTCAGGGATCTGAGTTACTGGACCCCGCTTTCACATACATAATCACATGGAAACCACAGATTGAATACCTTTAAACGGCACCAGTGGGAGCCACAGTTTGCCAGGTTAGTTTCTCMGTAAAACAGCATGGCATCAATCTGCTTAAAGGCATCTAATTCCCCAAATATTACCTTTAAATATTATGTAGCTAAGATGCCTGCTTTCCAGTGGTTTAGTCAATAATTCATTGTAACTTATCTGGAACTAACAGAATCACATTTTGTTTTACAGCTTTTTCAGTGACATTCAAATAGTTTTTAAATACTGGGGACACAGTAGGATCTGATCTACTGGTSCATGAAAATTAACACCCCACTCTGTTCTCTGACTGGCCCAAAAATTCACAAGAAAAGTTTTGATTTAAAAGTAAGTTACCAATTCTCCTGTCGCATGTTAGGTCCCATAAATCTTTATCTTTTTGAAGCCTGAACTACACATACTCATCTGGGAAATGCACCAACACAAAGTGCAAATGAAACCTCCATAAAACAAATCGCTTCCAAGTACAGCCTAAGTAAGTTGGAACCCCATCCATGACAAGGYTGTAGCAGCTGAGAGGAACAGGAGCACTTCTGAAGTCACTCTCAAAGGTGGACGTTGCACAGCACCAGGAAGATTCTGCTTTATACCTGCACTGGCCTCAACACAGTTCAAGTGACAACCCATTAAAGATCCTTGTATGCCCATTAACAGATACAAATTTGCTAACACCTCTGTAGATCAGATTGCTTATGCTCAGTGGGTTTACATTTCAGAATTAATAACAAAAAGGGAWGTTCTGCACCATAACTCTGTTAGATAAGGAATCTTTCCTTTTGTTATAATTTCAGAAGAGAAAGCAGACGGCCAAACACAAAACACAAGCACTCAGCTGGCTGCAGTCACTCAGCATGATGTGCAACTGACAGGAAGGGGATGACTTCAACACTTCCAGTTGTTCACATCTAAACAAATGTAAAATAGGGTTATTCTTGAYAACCAGAAAGCAACACTTGGAAAAAAGAACCAACTATAAGAGACCCTGAGAAAAAAGTGATACTAACATTCCTCCTAGAACTGAGAATCCTGGCATTTTGGGTTTGAAGTACTCCTGCTAAGGATCACTTTCATTAATTTCAAAAACAAAGAGTTATCATCAGAAAGGAAAAACATGATGTCAGCTGTAAATACATTACTGAGATAAGAAAGAAGCTGCCTGGACTTTACACATTAACTCCACATCCTAGTTACAATCAAAGTTACCAAGTGTCAATCAGCTGAGAGATTTACACAAGACCAGAATTAATTTCCTCCCTGGCTTGTCATCAAAAGAGGAGGAATAATAACAAAGGAGAAGGGTCCAAGCTGTTACAAGGCTCTATGGGGAGGGGGAGTACAGTACTATGCTGTTACATCACATTTAAAGAACTGAAGATGGAAGATGGTCAGTGTCTGTTCTGTACCYCCAAGTTAAGTTTAGGCTCAGCTGTTCTAACACATTCTGTGCATCTTACCTGTAAAGGAGACCGATACAGCCATTTTTCATTATCTCCACTGAGTTTCATACAGGCAAAAAGGTCACAAACTGTAGGAAGGCCAAAGTCCTGAAAGAGAAATCACCTTAATTACCAACCCAAAATATAAATACATTCTGATGTATCTTCAAATTCTGTAAAGTGTTCTAAACCAAAACTAATTTTGAGTCTGAGATTAATGCTTTCTTCATTTAGTATAAYATATTAATTTGTTTAGCACTAAGTAACTAATAATAGTGAAAACATTAGAAGAGGCAAGAAACCTAAAAACTGTCAGTTGGTATTACCCAGAAGAGCTATGACTTTGGAAGAGAAGGAAGTAATTAAATTCAGTAAAGCAATAAACCTGGCACATAAGACACGAAAGTAAAAAAAACTTGGGCTCACTTGTGCTTTCTTGCGCAGAAGCCATTTATCTTCCACTGGAGGAGGGTTTGCATTTTCTAGGTCATTTGAAGTCAACACCCAATTGTTTACATTTAAGGGAAGGTGGAATGGAGCCAAGAGGTCTAGGAAAGGACTCTTGAAACTCTTGTCTGCTTTTTCTCGGCTCTCTTTTTCTTCTGTGCTTTCTGCCTTGTGCTCAGCTTTGGCCAGCCAGCTTGTCAGAGGCCTCTCAAGCAATGCTTTCCAGGGTTCTGCAATCTCTGCTGAATAATCTGCTTTCTCTGCACTCACCAGTTCCCCTGGGAGCTGCTGTGTGGGGCTAAGCCAGGAATTAGTGGSCAACTTGGTCTTCTCATGCTCAGGGTCTGGTACATCTTTCTGGCTGACCGGAACTCCATTTTTATCCTTCCCATCTTTCTTCAGAAGCCATTTGCAAAGAGCCTCTTTTCCACAGTTTTCATCACACACACATTCTGAAAAGCTGGCACACAGATCATTAGCTTTGCACACATCTTCCACTTTAAAAGGGGCCTGGGAATGCTGAAGAAGCCAAGCATTTACAGCAGATGTAGTGGGTGATTTCTTTACATCAAGATGCTCATTCAGGCACTTCAGATTCCCCAGGTTCTCAATTTCCACACCTTTGCTCTGGCTGCCACGACAACTGGTACATGTTTCAGCTTTGAGGAGCCAATCATTCAAATTGCATTCTTCCCTAAAAGGTTTAAATTCATTCTTCCATTTCTCATCTGAAGCAACACTTCCATTTTCTGTGTCAGGAGTAAGCAGCCAGTCAGAAAGCTCCATCTCTTCTTGTCCAAGGGATTCCAATTCCTCCACTTTTTCAATAGTAGAAAAGGATGAGCTGAGAGTAGAGGTGGAGTCCTTGCGGCCAGGGGAATCTGTCTTCCCAGCAACATCACGCTGCTGACTGTGCAGGAGCCAGTTCTCCAAATCCTTCAGATTTCCCCAGGCTTGCTCAAAATAACAGACTTTGGAAGAATTCACATCCTAATAAAGACACATTGAAATAYATCTATTAACACTAAAAGACAATGYTTAGTAACTTTGCATAGTTAGAGCTCGGAGCAGTCAGACAATAAGTGCTAAAGCATCAGTTGAACGTGAGGCAGAATGAAGAATACTACAGAAGGTTTCATTCCCACCATATTCTGCCTGCAATTGGATACTGTCTTTTTCCCTCTGTTAAASGGTATATTGGGGCACAAAAGGTTTATTTACCTGGCTGGGCTCTGCCRCACATTTTTGCGTAACCCATTCCTCAAGATTGGTGCTGGGAACATAGGGAGACTGGCGCACAGCCACAGGTCTGCTTCCAAGTAACCAGTCAGCCAGGGAAGCATTCATTGTCCCACAMAGCGTCTGCTGCTGAGAGAGAATGTCCTTGGTTAGGAGAAAGACTAATTGCTGAGGCAATCTACAGTGAACAACAACACAGGCATTCAGCATGCATCAGTATTTCTGCACCGAAAGGAAAAAGAGTTCTTTCTAATAATGAAAAAAACCCATAGGAATTGGATAGTTCCAAAATCAAGGAACATTCAATTTAAAAATTCTGTCAGCCACACTCCACGTACACTTTCATACTATGTTCTTGCCTGTTTGTTCCTGGRGCAGCTACAGTATCAGTTCACTCTGCTCACCACAGCCACTGTTACTGGCTACTCAAGCATCTTCAACAGAAGTCATTACTCAAGCTCACATATCGTGCTTGAGTTCTCCTYTTCCCTTTAATGCAACTAAATACTCACAGACACAGGTCTTAATCTTACCTGCTCACAGTTCATCAGGGCACAGTTCTGCCCTGGGAACCAGGGAGAAAGATTCTCTCTCTCTGAGGTTTGCTGAAAGAAAAAGAAAAATTAATTTAAATCTCCATTTTGTGCAGTTTCTAGGATAAATTCCTCAACAAAGCAGGAATAATAGATACAAGTCTCAGTGTTTTGTGGCTAACAATGTTCTACAATGTTCTCAACATTTACAAACAAAATTGAGAAAGATTGACTATAAAAAATACTACCTTGAGTCTGCTTCCTTTAACAGAATTGTCTCCAATAATACAGGAAATATGCTGCTTACATAAGAATCCAAAAMTACTTTTATCACAGAAAGCATCAACAATGTTTTAATTACTGCCATCTAACAGTAGCAAATTTTCATTTGCTGGAATAGAGTAAGAATAGAGTAGTCATGCCCGCTAGTCATTCCCTCAGCCTCTGCCAAAATACATTAAAACTGAACTCATTATAAGTGAACTCAGTGAAAATGAGAACTACACGCAATAATTAATAAACCAGTGTGTATTTATTATACAGCTAAAATTATATGASTCATGCACAGGATCCATTCAATCTGTCACTAAAAGCAAAAATATCACTTGGAATATATTGCACTACCAAAAAAAAAAATCTAAGGCAAGTATTCCAACCCAGGGATGTCCTGGTGCTTACCATCGTTTTAATGGAACCAAAGGAGGTAATAGCTTGGCGAAGGTAAGATGTGTCAGCCTCAAAATTCAGAATCGAAGACTCTTCAGGTTTAAGTGTAAGACTTCCCAATCTGAAAGAGTAATGTGATGGTTACAGAAAGAAAAAAAAATACAATCTGCTTCATCCATCCTGTTTTGGAAGTAAGTCCATTAYTTGATAAAAAGGCTTTCAAGCTTCTTGGCAGTAATTAGGTAACAAAGAAGACTTTTGATATGGCATGCAAGAAAGAGATGCCTATCTACAAACCAARAAGCAAATAAACAGCCAGCAAAACWCAAGTTTCACCTTCTTATTTCAAMTGCCATCAATAACTARYATTTTAAATACTCTGCATAAATGAGTACCTCTCCACTCATTATAGACCTGATTTATCACAGACTGCTTTAAAGTTCTTATTTCTAGGAAATATTAAAAATGTACAGTAAGAACTATTATTAGTTTTATTAGAATAAAAAAATCATATAAAATTCATAAGTTAAAATAAACCCAACTGTTTTAATTTGCACCATAAAATACATTTACCTTTCCAGGCAAACTGAAATCTGGTTTGCCAGTTCGTTACTGTAGGAGCGTTCCAGCTGATGAATAAGGCAATTGAACTGYCCCAAGTACTGCATGGAAGACAAAACACATGTTATTGTTTAGGCTTCCACAATTAAAACTGAGACAATACTTGCAAGGACAAAGTTTGCTTGTCAGTGCAGTAACTGACAACCAAGCCTTACCCAGTAGAGCTGCTGTGCCTGCTGCTGCAAGGCCTCCTCTTTCAGCTGCTGGATGAGATCCACCTGCTCAAACAGCCACACYTCACGACTGCGCAGGCATTCCAGGTGCCGGCTGATGTGGCTGTGGATCTTGGCCTTGACCTGTCAGGGAAYACACACCATTTCTACATCTCTCAAGCAGAGTGAACAAACATGTGCTRCACTGATTACAAACTACTGGGTTTCAGTGGCAAGCGGTATTTTTGGAGCAATTTATTTCACAAAAATTAATCACAGTCACCCACAGCACATGACTCAAGTCAGTAAAAGCTTCAAGGCTACCTTTAAAGAGGTATCAAAGAATAATGTAATATCTCTCTATTCTGATGTTTTAACCAATAGCTTTTGGAAATTCTGCATGCCTAAGCTAGTAACATACGAATACCTTTATCAAGAGCAGGACCAAATGACACAGCAATATGCTTGCARATTGTTAGGAAAATTTCAGAACACCATGATAATATTAAGTACTCCGTATAATAAAAACTTTCATTAATGTTAGTTATTAAAACTTTATATCATATAAAATCATATAAAATCATATATTAGAACATCTTTAAGAAGTAATTTAAAATTACCTCCC